TGTGTTTGTGTGTCTAACCTGTTTCATGTGGCTGAGTTTACCAGCTAACGAGGTTAGGAGGATCCTCTCCTCCAGGCCAAAGGCAGCTGTTGCTAAGAGGGAAGCACAAACGGGGGGTTAGATTCCAGCTCGGCTCGTTTTTACCTTTAAAAACGCACGTTTTTACCTCCACGCAGCCCAGAAGAATCCCATTTTAACGTCCCGGTAAAAGGTTTTGTCACACCTCTTCAGAAGGTTTGCAGCCAGGACACATTTCTCATGTTCTTACCTCTGTTCTCGTTAGATCTGAGACTGGATTCGGTATTCTTATCACACTGAGCTCTGGAACTGTAAAAATGCTTCTTATTCACAGAGTTTCCTAACTAAAATCTCACATCTTTCACAAAGTATTCCCACTATTTTTGTATTTCGATGGTTAATATTTTATTTCCAGCTCCCAATATTTTCCCAGGATTTACTCTTTTAATTTTCTTAACATTAGAAGAATTTAATAGGTTTTCTGTTCTCTTAAGACTTTAAAATATGTCGAGCCCCTGATAAACAAAGCTGGATTGATTCATGATTGAATTTTTAAACCAAATGCACAAAGTCACGAATTTCCCATTTTGGGTCCTTTAAACTCAAGATTTTTCATTTATTTTGGCAAAAAGAAAAGCAGTTATTACACATTCCTGTAACCAGATCAGTCATTTTAAACCACATGAACCAAAGACATGATTTAAATTTGGGTAAATGAAGTAATGCTGCGGATTATTTCCTCTATTTTTACATAACTGAGCAGGATTCTTATTTTCCAGACCCCTTTTTTCTGCTGTACATTTACATTTTTACATACATTCAACATTTGAATCAAAAATATTTTTCAAAAGACAATAAATTTGGATTAAGATGATTAATTAACAAGCAACAGTACAAATTTCTCCAGTGTTTCACATGAAAAAGATCCTTCGGTAACAAAGCCTCGGAGCCAAACGCGGGTGTAAATATAAATCTGAATCCCGACAGGAAGTCAACGCCTCTCTGATAAAAGTATAAGGCATCTTGGTCGTCAGGCACACGCACAGAAACATACAAAATCTCACTCACGCTGAACCCTGACACACATCTCTCCGTCTAACCTTTTGTGTCTAACCTTTGTGTAATGATCCAAAAATCAATACTGTTCTGTACCGACTTTCAAAAGAGTTCAGAGCTGGTCCTCGGCGTCCCCGGGCGGGAGGAGTCTGCGCCGCTGTCAGGACTCCTCCCCGGCTTCCTGGTTGATCACATGACTGTAGCCCCTGCTCCTGCTGGGGTCCTTCTGCCAGCAGATGACGCCCAGCAGGAGGCCGATGAGGATGAGGAGCAGGAAGCCCGACAGGGCCAGGCTGATGATGACCTCTGGGGGGGGAGGAAAAGGCCGTTAGAGAGGAGAAAAAAAACAAGGAGAGGGAGTTCAGAGGTTTGGGGGGGCTGCTGAAACAGGTTCATAAAGCTAACCGAATTACAATTACACTATACTTCCATTTATTCTTTTCAAAATAAAGGACATCTACAAGTTCACTTTTAAAAAGGTAATTTTCTAAAAGTAAAGGGGGGGGGGAGGTTACAGTGAGGACCTGCTCCAGCTTTTACAGGTTAAAGTCAAATTGAGAGCGACTTGTTTATGAGATTTCTTTATTTGTTCTTAAGTCATTGGCTGCCAAAGACGTCTATAGACGTCTTTTATGTTTTCCACTAGAGTGGCTGGGGGACGATCTGCTAAAGCTTGTCCGTAAATATCGGCTTCAAGACAGAGTATGTAGTAACAAATTGACCCTCTAGGGGGCAGTGCCACTTTTGATGGGAGATGAGCATAGATTGTAGGCAAATAAAAAAAAACGCAATGGTTCACTATGCGAGAAATGGCGCCGGTGAGACGCACGTCGAAGAAGAACGGAATAAGGTAGAAAGACTTTTTTTTCCTGATGAAAGAAGAGAGTCTACTCTTTCTTTTGGTGTGTTCGGTGTTTACATAGTCATAGCACAAACTATTCTGTGGCTCTTGAAAAATCAGTCAAAATGCTCAAAAAACTCTGGCAGTATGGGACTCTCTGTTCTGAAAATGGCTGCCAGTCAATGAGTTAAAGGGGACATATTATGCAAAACCAAGTTTTTAATCATGTGATTATGTACATTTGGGGCTGTGGAGGGCCTTTCAGCAGGCAAAGTGTGAAAAAATCTCTTAGTTATAGGAAACACATTTATTAAGTAGGAATAAGGTCTTAGCTCTGTCACACTGGTAGCCAAGTAATCGACATTTCGATTCACCTTGTGTTTTTTGTACAATGACAATAAAGGAAGGAACTTCAGAGTAGGTCTGACCTGCTCTGTTTGGAAAGATAAGAGACAACTGTTGTTGTGATGTGGCGCTATATAAATAAAATTGAATTGAATTGAATTCATTTTAATTTTGTAATGTCATTGTCTGAACGTGTGTTTGGACTGATTTTGTATTTTGTGATTTTGTGTTGTTTGGTCTTCCTGTCTCAGGACGACAGATGTAAACTAGCAACTATGCTAGAATCTGGCTCATTTACAATCTGTATGAGATTGTTCAATAATGTGCACTGTCCTGATTAAAGAAATAAAGTCTAAGTCTAAGTCAAAGGCCCACAGAGGTGCGGGGAGCCGGGCGGGGCCGTGTTTTTACCTCTGTCTCTGCCCTGGGGGGGCAGCTGGCACTCCTTGTCCCGGTCCTCTGAGATGGAGAGCTTGGTAATGCTCACAAAGTCCTCCAGGGGGCAGTGCAGGGCGCAGCCCGGCAGCTGCAGCGGGTGGGGCTCCGCGCCGCTGTCGTTCCGGTAGAACATGGACACCCAGGCGGAGCTGTGGGGGGGCGGGGTCAGGGCGGGGGGGCGGGGTCAGGGCGGGGGGTATGGCGTCATATTTATGTCAAAAGTTCACACGCGCAAAATGAACCTTCCCGCGCGCAGATACAGTATTCGCGCACAAATTCAACAACCGAGAGTTGCACAAGTTTCTGCGAGCGAGCGCCTGGTTT